CTAATGTTCAAAAAAAAAAAAGTTTATAGATTTGTTTCTAATAAAAATGATAATTCTACATGATGACAATACTTTCTTGTCCTAGTTTGTTACAAGTCACCTAAAATTGCATCTTAACGAAACTTGTTTTTATAAGTCACTTAAAATCTCCCACGTCTTTCAACGTTGTTGCATCTTCACCTACAAGTGTTTTTTTTTTAACAAAAATCCTTATAAGCCTTTAGTTTAAGTAATTTATCTTAACGAAACGTGATAATTTTTGTACGTGAGAACGATGAACATGTTAGCAATAGCCTTGTCTCTGCTTTTAATCTGTTTTGTCTTCTTCTTTTTCACCACCAGAAAATCATGTTCCGGTGATAAAGGAGCCAAAATCCCTCCGAGTCCTCCAAGGTTACCTATACTTGGTAACACCCTTCGAATCTGTGAAAAGCCTCACCGTTCACTTACCGATCTCTCGAGGATTTACGGAAGCGTAATGGTCTACTTTTTAATACAAATTTTAGTTTTAAATGAAATTGGAAAATAATTTGTTCATTGTTTGGTTTAGGTTTGGTTTGACAGGTTTCTAAGAAAGATAACGACGAACTAATTGTTTTTTGGTAAACATGTTAAGATGCGTTCTTTGATAGGGTTTTACCTTTGTCCCGGGTGAAAATAGTTTCTGGACACATATCAGAATGTAATACCAACTAACGTCTAGATAATCTTGAGTTTTTAGCATGAAGAATCACGACGAACTAATTGTTATCAACGCAGCGTTTAGAAGCAACCAAAGACTTAAGAATGAGCAAGGTGCAAGAACTTATGAGCTTCGTTAACAAAAATGCAGCGAGAGAAGCGAACCTGTGAACATGGCTCGTGCATCATTCATCACATCACTCAATATAATCTCGAACGCTCTGTTTTCCACAGACCTCGCAAGCTTTGATGACTCTGAAACAACTCACGAGTTACACGACGTGGTGCTTCGGATGATGGAGATCACCGGAAAACCCAACGTAGCTGATTTTTTCCCATTTCTTGGGTTTCTTGATCTGCAAGGTACTAGAAAAGAAGCGAGGTTAAGGATGGACAGATTGTTTAAGGTTTTTCAAGGATTCATCGATACAAAGAGATCATCAAATGCTTCGAGAAATAGCAACGATATGCTAGATTCTCTTTTGAATATTGCTCAAGAAGACAAATCAGAACTCGATGATAATGATATCAGGCATTTGCTTCTCGTAAGTTTTTGATTTGCAAATTAGATCTTTAAATCAAGACTACGTACAGAGAAAATTGGGCTCTATATATGTTCTTAATTTATAATGTGTGATAGGACTTATTTCTGGCGGGAATATAGACACGACTTCGATTGCAGTAGAATGGGCAATGGCAGAGTTACTTCGAAACCCTAAGATGAAACTTAAAGCTCAAGAAGAGATAAGAAGAGTGATAGGGCAAAAGAAAGCCGTTGAAGAATCGGATACCTTCAAGTTACCTTATTTGCAAGCAGTAGTGAAAGAAACTCTTAGTTTGCATCCATCTGCTCCTTTGCTCATCCCTCGAAAATCCGAATCTGATGATGTCCGAATTTTCGACTTCCTCATTCCTAAGAAGACTCGTCACATTTATGTTTTCGGATTCATAACAATAAAGGATCGGCATACGAATCAAAACTAACCAAGCCAAAACGAATAAAATATCCAAACCTAATGAATAACCGATTACCGATCCGAGGGGTACTTGGTACTGCAACCCGTGAACAGGTATGATATAACAATAATTTTAAGTTAAATTGTATTATTATAATATTATATATAACTAATATATTAACTAAATATTTAGGCAAGTGCATGGGCAACAAGTTTTGCTGGAGCTTTTGCAGACATACCAAATCCAACTTTTGCAAACATGCCAAACCCGTCTAATCCTCAGGTAAATGGTTCTTACTTTAAATGGATGATGGTGCTTAACTTCTTGTGGATATTTAGATGATAAATTGATTTTTTGTATGACTTTTTTTTCAGGAAATGGATGATGGTGCTAATGGATATCAAGACGAATGATGGTGCCAATGGATATCAAAACGTTTATGAGTTGAAACCATGCTAGTCATGATGAATAGTTACTTGGCAAAATTTCTTAGCAATTTTAGTTTGTTTATGTTTTATGCATTTGCATTTTGCACCATGGGCGAATCATGTAATCTACTTTTTAATACATTAATTAGTAATTTTTATTTGGTTTTTCGTATTTAATCAATATTTTTTTTGAATTTTAGAAAATATATTAAATAAAATAGTCTATTTACGTTGTAAATAAAAATAAATATTCTCATCGGTTTGTATAAGTGACAGCACCACTAGAATCATTTATGAAAAGTGACATGAATTTAGCATCAGTTACAAACAAGTGATAGTAAATCTTGAAATCGGTTATTATAAGTGATAAAAGAACTTAGAAGCACTTAAAGAAATTGACACTAAGTTTAGCATCAATTATTTAAAAGTGATATAAAAATTAACATCATTTATCATAACTGTTACAAATACTAATATCATTTTCCCAAACTGATTTAAAAGTTAACATCATTTTTTGCAATTGATACATTTCGACAGTTACAACAATCGATGTTAATATTTTACATATTTGTATCGATTACTTATTAACTGATGAGAAATATTTGCATCAACATTTTCAGAATCGCTTTTTCAAGTGATGCAAAATGCATTTACATCATTTATAAGTAATACAAATATTTAAAATAAATGATACAATTTGACCCCTTTTTTGTAGTGCGAATGTCTATATTCTTAAAAGACTGTTGTGTGATTACTCCTTGTTGGGTTTTGAAACAAGGTTCTTGTGAACTTAATATTTTATAATATTGAGAAATAAATCACTGTTTTTTACTACATTGTAAGGCTTCAACTATATAGCTAACTATAATTAAAATAATGTTTTTTTATTGTATTTGAATACAATCCAATCCAATGATAAATTTTCAATTATTACACAATCCTGAATTGGTTCAAATTTAAAAGTGAAAAAAACACACCCGAGTGTATGACTTTATATATCATCGTAAAATAAATAAAACCCTGTACTATATACTATAATTTATTCATTTATTATCCATAACTTAACATTGCACATAGTGTTGTTGAAAAACAATAATAGAAAAAACATATCACATATTGTTTCACATTTAGTGATGGACAAATTACCTTTTTGACTTTTTGAGTCCTAGGCATAAATGGTCTCCTTCCTTATGTCAACAAATGTATTTATTTCTATTGAAGCTGCCGCTTATACCCATGACGATAATAATTTTAGTTATAAATAATACACACTGTATATCATAATTTCTAAATAAGAGAATTTGGTTAGAAGAAACAAAACTAACGATGAGGGACACCATAGCTCCTGCTCTGTTTTTGGTACTTAGCTTCCTTTCAACATTTCTTCTCCTTGTCACCGTCAAATCACGACGGAGATCGACCGCACTGCCTCCTCCACCTCCGGGACTACCGGGACCAATCACATTGCCTCCGGGGCCTCCGGGATGGCCGCTTATCGGAAACCTTTTCCATATCATCGGAAAAGCTCCTCACCGTTCACTTGCTGATCTCTCAAGAGTTTATCGACCAATCATGCGTCTTACGCTTGGAAGTATAACCACAGTGGTAATTTCTTTACCCGAGGCAGCAAGAGAGGTTCTAAGAACGCTTGACCATGACTTCTCTGCACGAACCTTCAGCGAGACGGTTCGAGCCATTGGTCACCAGGATGTTTCCATCCCATGGCTGCCTTCCACGTCGTCTCATTGGAGG